AGCCCGTAGATAACTACGGATAGAAAGGGTGCTAATACCTTCCCTTTCTATAATCTACCCCCCGTACCTAGAAAATCTCGAAAAAGGAATTTTTCTGTGCTTTTTTGCTTTCCTTGTTGGATAAAATAAAAGATGGTCGAGACTCTTGCTTACCGCGACATTTTGTGGAAAAATTGCAAAACGCAAACCAGCATTCCAAAAACAGTCAGTTCTTCCCACTGTATCACATACACATTCATCAACATCAAAATACACTTCTTTATACCATCATATAATGCGACTCAATACTATGCAAATGCATGTGGTACCATTGGAGTAGAACTCCCATCTCAAAAAATTTCCAATTAATAGAGGCATCAACAAGGCATAGCCTTCATCTCAAAATTTGCCAATCCAGGCCATCTCAACGAGCATAAGCTCCATCTCAAAAAAATGCAATGTATGCGACACAACCATGAATGTAATAACAACACCCAAGTTAACAACATCTCAAATCATCTCAAAACGTCTCAATTAACATCTCAAAAACATCTCAAATCATCATCTCAAAAACATATCAAATAATCATCTCAAAAACATCTCAAATAATCATCTCAAAAACATCTCAAATAATCAAAATAATTCATCAAACATCATTTATTAATTATAAATCATCCACACAATATTATTATTAACTTCTCACTAACAACTCAGCTGTATTTTAATTTCCACAGTAAATCAACATTGTCATTCTGTAATTATAACGTCAAGACCGTCACTTTCCTACTGTTAGTTCAAACAGCCGCTTCTAAGCATCTAATGTTCATCGTTCTGTTCAAAAACAACGTAAAGGCCATCCTAGCTTCTGACCACGCAGCCTCTAACTATCACTATCTCTAATAGTGCAGCTTCTGATAACACAACCTCTGGGTGACACAATCTTCTGACTACTATAACTTCTGACAAATGCAACCTCTGATCAGATGCAACTTCTGATCATCACAGCTTCTGGCTAACCCCATCTTCTGACCAGATACAACTTCTGATCATCACATCTTCTAACTAACCCCATCTTCTGACCAGATACAACTTCTGATCATCACATCTTTTGACTAATGCCATCTTCTGACTAATGTAAATGCTGACTAGTACAACTTCTAACATCAGAACTGTTACTTTCTAATGATTCAACGCAACTTATAACAACTTACGTATGACTTCAGAACTGTTATTTTCTATTCATCCTATTGTTCTAATTCCTTTCCTGATATCAATTCAACTAAGAATAGTATGACAAATTCTACTCTCCAAATTAATTCATTAATTCTAATACAGTAGCGCCTGATATCAATTTGCCAAATTCTGCGTTTTCATTACTGCTATATTCTACGTTTTTCATCACTGCATCTCACTTCGGTTCAATAACTAAAGCCCTAAAACTTATTATAATCATGTCAATTCATCACCCATTATTACCCTATAATCTTACAGCATTTAAACAGCATCAAGACATCAATATTCATCAAAATTCATCAATCCTCATCATACATCAATCATATATTCTCAATTCAAGAACAAGACAACAATCACCTATAACCCCACATATCAATTATCATAAACCCAAATTATAGAGTCAGAACCCCACCCTTACCATGGATTGAAGGTCGCTCTACAATTTCCGGTTGGATTCACGTTCTTGCCGTTTTCCACTTTCTCTAGCAGCTTGCACGTTCTCTTCCAAATCCTTATTCTTCTACTGCTTCTTTCTTTCTATTCCTTCTAACAAATAATAAAATAACCCTATTATTCTATTATTCCTTATTGGGCTTAAAACCAACACACCCCCTTATTACTTCTATTCTCCCAAAATAAGCCCACATTAAATAATTTTACACTTCTAATATTATTTCACCACATAATATTATATCTCTAATATTATTTCTCCACTTAATAAAATAAATCCAATTAATTATAACACATCTTCATAAATATTCAAAAATTATTTAATTAAATAATTAATTAAATTACGGGTGTTACAACTCTCCCCCACTTAGAATATTTTCGTCCTCGAAAATTTACCTCAATCAAATAATTCAGGATAGGAGTCTCGCATCTTGCTCTCCAACTCCCAAGTCATGCTTTCACCAGCAGCTCCTAGCCAAACCACTTTAACCAAGGCAATCTCTTTGCACCTCAGAGTCTTCATTTCACGATCCCTAATCCGTACAGGCATCGTCTCCACCGTAAGATTATCCCGTACTTGCACATCGTCCATATGAATCACATGAGATGGATCTGAAATATACTTTCGAAGTTGCGACACATGAAACACATCATGTAAATTCGAAAGATTAGACGGTAAAGCCACTCTATAAGCAACATTCCCCACTCTCTCCAAAATCTGATACGGTCCAATAAAACGAGAAGTGAGCTTCTTAGACTTCAATGCTCGCCCAACACCAGTCACATGTGTAACTCTCAAAAACACATGATCACCAGCTTGGAATTCTAAATCTTTCCTTCACTTGTCATGATAACTCTTCTTTCTACTTTGGGCAGCTTTCATCTTTTCTCGAATCAACTTCACCTTCTCGATAGTCTCACGAATAAGTTCAGGTCCAAGTACTACGCTTTCACCAGATTCATGCCAACATAATGGAGTTCTACATCTTCGACCATACAATGCTTCAAAAGGCGCCATCCCAATATTAGAATGGTAATTGTTATTATAAGTGAACTCTACCAACGGAAGATAAGTATCCCACGAACCTCCTTGCTCAAGAACACATTGTAGCGGTGAAAATCGGAGATCAAGCTATTAGTTAACTTGACTCACAAAAGCAAGAGTCGCCACCGCGCTTTATTATTTCCAAGGGAAAAGGGAAAAGAGTGAAATAAAACCCTAAAAATATGCAATGTAAAATAATACTTAAAAGTAATAAAAATACAATGCGTTTTGAAAGAGATCGAGAGTTCGGGGGTTAGTTATACAATGGGAAGGTATTAGCACCCAATGCATCTGCGGTACTCCGCAGGAACCTTTTGAAATATCTGTTTTTCGGTTAAAATTGTTTGTTTGATTAAAATGGTTTATTTGGTTAAAAGATGGGTATGGACGAGATTTTTGAAGATACGACGACCTAGTGTCGAAGTTTTGACTTAAAAAGGTGTGAGTTTGAAAATGGAGTCTTTTGGGAAAATTATCTTGAGTTTAGTAAAATAGTAAACAAACAAAAAATGAAAAAAAGAGGGTATTCGCATGATCTGAGGAGATGTATTTGATGACATGAAGTCAACAAATTTAAATCTTTCCCTTGGAGTTAAAATCACAAACGGATAAATAAGCTAAGAGTATATCAAACCTTAGGTGAAAGTAAATCACAAGCCGACAGCATCATCGAAAAAACCTAATGTGAGATAATACTCCAAGCATCAGATAAAGCGCAAAGGCGGTGGAAAAAGCTCACAGTGTCAGATAAGAATCCCTGCATCACAAGAGATATACCGACAAAATCTAACAGCACGATAAACTCATGTGCGTCCGCACAATTTTCAGAAGTTAGTTGGAATTAAAAATAAATCACAATGCAATGAAAAAAATATCTACATAGACAGAATTTATTTACCAATGAAATGAGTAAAATATACAGTAAAAAAATATTGTGTACAAGTATGTATTTACAATACAAAATATTAAATCAAAAATAGTAAGGTGAAAAGGGAATAAAGAAAAATTATAAATGCGCTATGCGAGAATGAACGCTTGAAACAGTTCTTGGAAACCTTCACAGTAAACAAACTTGTTAGTAGCATAAGTGGTATAAAAATGAAATGAATGAAATTGCAACAATTAACATGTATTAGTGATCTTTCACAATTAAAATCACCAAACAAACATAACCAAACAAAAAGATGAATCAAATCACAAATTGAAATCAACTTAGATTAACAAAGAAGTAGTGAAATAATTGGCGACCAAGAGTTCACGACACACATTTAAACCACATTATGAATATAATTTCTCATTCTAAAAAAACAAAATTAAAATTCACAAAGAACTAAACTCAAGGTATATACAAATTAAACTCAAAAAGAGCAAAACAAGAATTGAGTCAAAGCTTTTTAAACTATTTATAAACTCCGGGAAGAAACCAACACCTATCCAAGGAGGCTCAATAATTCCATCTTAACATGTTTGATAACCCGACACATCCAACAAACTTTATTCGAAACTAATTCTATCAATGTGGTGTCGACATCGACTTTACAAACAACACCATAATTATCAATAATAACCTCACTCAAATCAAATGGTATTATCAAAAAGTCTCAATCAAATTAAATCAAACAATAAACATGTTGTCTAATGCCAAATTTCATGATATTTCAACAATAAGTAAAACACCACCATTCAATTTTTAAACAAAAAGAAAAGGTATCGATATTAGAAACTTTATTCAAATTAAACTATATGGCATTGACATTAAAATTAATATAGACAAACAACACTTCAAACAACAACATGTTCTTTAAAGAATTTAACACAACTAATCACTATCCAAAATTCAATATAAAATTAAACACAATCATGAAACATATTTGCCAAAATAAATAACACATAGTGAACATAATTTAAATAATACAGAATAACACAATCATTTGGCTTCAACAAAAATAAAACCCATACCGGTATCGAAATGAAGCTGGACAGAGAGAGTATTGGACCGTGTGGGTTTATGATGGTTGCTGACAGTTATTGGCGACTCAACGAAAAAAAAAGGAAGACGCAGAGGGAGCTAAACTGATGGGAACGGTGAAACGGTGCTTGTGCATTTGGGAATTGAATGGGTATGATGCATGCATACCTTCTTAGTTGCTGAGATTGATGTCGGTAAGTGAATTGAAGGATGCAGTGGTGAGTTGTTGTTGTTTGCACGCTATTCAATCCCTGCCTCATATCCCCATCAGCAGTGAAAATGATAGCCTCAAGTCCTACTCTGAATCGGCTCAATAATCTTAGCCTATGTATTGCAAGCAAGCGCGAAACGAGTAGAATTAGAATATATCTCCATTGTCCTTCTTAAAGCTTGTTGTGCTCCAGATGTCGTGCTGTCAGCTTCATCGAGTATAACAACTTTGTGTCGGCCCGGGGGAAGTGTTACTTTCTTTTGAGCAAACATCTTGATCTGGTTCCTCACGACATCTATTCCTCTATCATCTGATGCATTTAGTTCAAGAACAGCTTTTCTATAATTGGGACCGAGAAGCTCGTGCGCATGGGCAAGTATACTGGTGGTTTTTCCAGTTCCAGGAGGACCTGATAAAATGAGGTTGGGCATGTTGCCGTCACGAGCGGTGACTTGGAGTCTGGAAACGGCGTCTTCGTTGCCGACGATGTCGACGACCTTGTTGGGGCGGTACTTCTCGACCCACGGCATGTCGTAGTTTGCGCTGTTGCTTGAGGATGATGATGCCATGCTTGTGATGGTTTTGTTGGGAGTCTTTGGAAGGTGATGGGTTTGGGAAGAGAAAAGGGTGTTTGTGGGTTTAATGAAGAAAGTAGAGTTGTTTCTGTTGAAGATGGAAAGTGGGAATTTGGTTGTGAATAATCGAAATGAACATGAGAAAAGGGAATCGGTTGACATCATTGTAGATGGTATGCGCATTGTATTTGCCGCAGTTGGTTGTGAGATAGAGAAAGTGAAGGGCATTGTTCTAGGCTTTTTCCTTGCCCAAACAAAATCTAAACATACCCGAAGCCCAACTTCTAGGCTCTTTTCGTGAAATGCCAATAGTGAGCTGATATTACGATCTTACAGCGCCGAAGCTCCTCTCGATTTGGCGTCGGTTTTGAACGGTGATTAAACAGTGAAAATTGGTTAGTTGTCGCGGGTGAGGATGGTTGCAAGTAGATGAATGGGAACATATTTAGTAGACAGAGGGAAATTGGTGCGGTAAATAGGATGTTGGTGAGGAGGGAAGTGGATAGGTGAGATTGGGCAGTTGATGGGGTTGAGTGAGGTGAGGGTGGAGAGTGATTTGAGGGCTGTGAATGAGAGAGAGACGTAGGAGGAACAGTTGGAGCGGGTTAGGGAGATGAAGGATGTCGTTGTATCCTACTATAACCTATGACTTTTTTTCTGTGAAACAAGGACAGAGGCAAAAGTGACGAAGCCACCGAGAGATGTTTCACTGCAAAATAAATGTGAGCAATATTTTCCTCTTGCAATGATAAGAAGAATGGCTCTATGATCAGTTGAATATGATGAACAACGGAAGCAATGATGCTATTTGACGGAATGGTTAATAGTGGGTTAGTGGAGGTTAGGTACACGGAGAAGGGTGTTGGGTATGCTAGCGGAATAAAGGTTGAAGGATGGGGTAATTGCAGAAGGGGGTATTTGTTGTTCGCGTTTAGAAGAGAAGAGGGGTGGTTTGAATGGATAAGGGTAATGGGTTAAGAAGAGAGAAACTGAAGGGAGTTTATTGCTGTGAGTTGCTTCTCTGCTTTTTTGTGTCTCCCCCTTTACAAAGTGATAAAGGTGCTACTTAAATAAGAAGAATATTGTTTTCAGGTTTAATCCCATCCGTCCAAAATTATTAAATCTGCATCTATCCGCTATTTTTGCTAACAACCAATAAGAATCAAGCACAGTGTAAATAATATTTTTTGTGACCAAAAAGTCCCTGAATGACAAAAATAACCAAAAAGACTAAGATTATTAAAATTAACTCCATTTAAAATAATTTTTTGAATCTTTTCTGAATAAAAAAAAATAAGGACCCAAAATGATTAAAACAATAAAAAAAACGGAAGAAAATTTATCCGAAAAATTAATATGAACACATTAAAATAAACTACATGTAAAAAAGATTAAAGAAAAAATATTCAAACAGTCAAAAATCAAAAATAAAATAATAATAAAAATATCAGACTAAACAGACGTTTAAGGTTAAAACGAGACTTCAAACTGTACCGAAAAAATAAAGCGAGCATACCGTCATAATCTACGCGAAGCGCAGATTCATAAAATGATCGGTAAAAGGTGAAAACTCGAAATATTTTTCTCGCTAATTTTTCGTACATTGTTGAATCGCTTTTAACAGTTTGTCTATAAAACCAAAATATTTTTATTATCGATATATAAACAACTTGGAGCAATGCAAGAAAATAGTAAACAGGTAAAAATGAATGATGTGAAATGCCAGGTATTTTACAACTGAAAGACGATGCGAACTTTGATTTAAACTGACTTTTCTGGTCAATTTAAATACGACTAATGATGCAAAATATGATGAATGAAGATATTTACTAATGATTGTGACCAAATGACAAAATATGGTATGAATGTGCGACTGAAAAAATTAGGGGCGAAATTAAGGGTGCAACGGTGTGCCTTGATGAATCAGTCTTCGAGAATCCACAATCAACCGTACTTCTGGCTTGGGAGACTCAAAATCTTAATTGAGGCGCGACACTTGATGCTCTTGATTCAGACCTGTCTCTGCACATGACACAAAAGAAAACATGAACATACACCTTTGTATGCGGTTAGAAATTAGTGATACATAGGCTAAAAATGTTCAAAACACTTGACAATCTTCGCATAGTCAAAGCTTGAAGGTGAGAGGTTAAAACCGACCGTATTTCGTGACCTTGACTTATCTTTAAAAAATGCAAGAATAAAAATGGGATCTTAGGTCAAAAATTGGGGTACAACCGCTGCCCCTATTTAAGTTTCTTCTATCTGGAGATATGAAGATTGGGATCTTCATTTCGACGAGATTGAAGGGACTTAAATATAGAATACACAATTTTTGGCCTTAAGATACCGCGATTATGTTCATGATATGATATGAATGTAATGCTCTGAATTTTACGGGGAATGACGCCATATGAGACAGACTATGCTGGAGAAACCAAGCACATTATACAGTAATCCCACAGAGGAAGAGGTTGTAACTCCCCTGGGGAAACAGAGTCATAGACTTCAAATGAGAGACTCTTGAATGATTTACATCAGTATTGAGACTGGAAAAGGTAATGATTTACATCAGTACTGAGACTGGAAAAGGAAATGATTGACATCAGTACTGAGACTGGAAAATGATTGACATCAGCACTGTGGCCGGAAAATGATTGACATCAGCACTGTGGCTGGAGAACAAAATGATTGACATCAGCGTTGTGGCTGGAGATAAACATCTCTGATTTCTGAATTTTACCAAGAACGGTAACACATTTCTTCTCTAACCAAGATATCGCTTGAAAAGGATAAAATAACAAATTTCCCCACGGGACTTTTCCGAAAGGGATGCCATTTGCTGAGTAGACATTTTTGTTGGGGATACACAAGCTGCTCAAATAAAGAGGCCGCCACTTTCTTCCTTTCAAAGGTGTCAGTAACATACAAGCTGCTCATGAAGAGACCGGCACTTGCTGTCTTCAAAGAATATTAAAGCACACAAGCTGCTCATGAAGAGTCCGCCACTTGTTGCCAAAACCCACAAGCTGCTCATAAAGAAGCTGCCACTTGTTGTCTTCAAAGAATATCAAAACACACAAGCTGCTCATGAAGAGTCTGCCACTTGTTGCCAATAACCCACAAGCTGCTCATAAAGAAGCTGCCACTTGTTGTCTTCAAGGGAACAATAACACACAAGTTGCTCAAATAGATAAGCTGCCACTTGCTGTCTTCCAAAATACTAACGTACAAGCTGCTCATGAAGAAGCTGCCACTTGCCGTTTTCAAAAAGTGTTGATAATATACAAGTTATCCATGAAGAGACTGCCGCTTGCTGTTTTCTTTTCAAAATTACCAATAACACACAAGTTGCTCATGAAGAGACCGCCGCTTGTTGTTTTCTTTCAAGGTATCAATAACATACAAGTTGCTCATGAAGAGACCGCCGCTTGATGTTTTTCAAGAGAAAAATAACACACAAATTGCCTCATGAAGAGACTGTCGCTTGTTGTTTCCAAAGGTGCCCATAAAATATCATGAAGATATTGCTGGAGACGGGGATCAATAATTTCGTCAGGGATGGACAAACTGCTCATGAAGAGACCGCCATTTGTCGTAGAGAAATCAGAAATAATCAAACTGCTCAAATAAAGAGTCAGTCGCTTGTCGTCATGTCGATATCCCAGAAGAAGGTTGTGATAACACTGCTGGGGAATAAAGTTCATCTTCAATTCTTCAATGGGGAACCATGAATAAATCCTTCTTGAGGAGACCAAGTATTTACATTGCAAAATAAATGCACTCTCCATCTAGGTTTCACAGCCTAGAGAGATCCACAGGGTATCATTCACAAGAGACATAGCTCAATCCAGGAATGAACTGGAGAGAAAACAGTCAAACAAGACTCCACCCACTGAGGAAATAACTCAACTGGGGATTTATCCTATCCAGAGATGGAAAAGGAAAGCTAAAGCAAGATTCTTCCACGAGAGTTAACTCAGTGAGGAATTAGAAAAGAGGCGCACTTTCTGCTTAAGTTGACACTCTATTTGGAAAGATCAAATATGCTATTTGAATAGACATAACCAAGGTATACAAACTCGAAGATATCAACAAATACAAATGTGTGTGCATGATGAAAGCATGAACGAATGAATGAATGTCATATATATGTTGACAAGACAGACAGGGGAGATAGACAGAAGATGATAAGACGTCCCAGTACAACTCGACACTCGGCTAATCTCAACAGGATGGTAACATTACTGGAGATAGAAAACAACAGCCATCATTGGAGCAAAGTCCTTTTACAAGGCTTAAATATCTCTGGAGAGGAAGATATTTTCAGGTAGAAAACCCAAAGTCTGGTCTTCTATTGTCGACAATCCATTGAAAGGATAACAACACGAACAATGATTCAGCTGGAAAAAGTCATGCTTAGCTGGAGATACTGGAACACCACCCTCTGATAATGTGTGCAATACATATCACATATCTTGACAAATCTAGATTGCCCCTGGGACCAATTTTGGATGCCCCAAGTTTACTGCTGATGAGCTGCATGTTGCACGACAATTCTTGCGAATAGCTTCACTTCTAACATGCCCCAAGCTATCTGGTTGATGAGGAGAAATCGCCTCAAGAGGATTTTACAAAAGACCTGGCATTCACCATGCTCTGGTGTCTTCAAACTCTTAGAGGAATTCATCAGATCTCGACGTGATTGCCCCGAATTGACTGTAGTTGGCACAACAGAGTCTTCAACTTTTGCCCCAATAAAGGGTAAACAAGTTGGGAAAGCATTAACTGGGAGAAGCAACATGTTCGTGCTTACGGTCTTCAGGTGACATGCCCCTGGATATGATTTTTTCTTGAAATGATCTGCCAATTACTCAACAGAGCTTCAGGCCTTAAGATTAGACTCATCACTGGTGCTTATATGTGAGTTTCCTTGATATCAAACAAATGTTTTGCAGTTAGAAAATTTTATTATGAGAATGAAAATTCTAATG